TCTGGAGAAATGGCCCAGTAGTTAAGAGCACTAGCTGCTCTTGCAGAGGACCCAGGTTCAATTCCCAGCACCCACATGGCAGGCTAATAACCATCGGTAACTCCAGTTCCAGGGGAATCCAATACCCTTTTCTGACCTCTGCAGGCATTGCATGACACAGGTGTACTTACATACAGGCAACACATTCATATACATAAAATAAAAATAATAAATAATGTATATATATTTAAAGCAGAGAAGTGTTCGGGAGATGACCTAGTGGGTAAGCAAGCTTGTTTTGCAAACATGGGGATCTGAGTTTGAATACCCAGCACGTAGATAAGAAGGTGGGCATGGCCATACATGCCTGTAATGTAATCCAAGTATAAGTGGGCAGAGACATGTGGCTTCCAAGTACAGCTTGGCTACCAGGGAAGCTTTGGGGTTTTGGGTTCAGTGAGAGACCCCTTCTCAAGACAAAGGAAGAGAGTGATAGAGGAAGACACTTGACATACTGCTCTGGCTTCTGCATGTGCATGTTCACATGAATGCAACACACACACACATACACACACACACACACACACACACACACACGAGAAAAACCAAGAAGCTAGTACATGGAGAAAATTAGATACACAATTGTGCCATGTAGCACAGAATCCAACAAGTAAAGCAGAGTTACTTAAAACAGAATACCACGAAACGCCTTCAAATGAAAGATTCCACAATCTAACACAGGCAATTACATTCCAGGCAAATGACCAGAGAACGGTAAGTGCCCAGGAGAACACATGAACCTAATTAAGTTATTGTGATTCAAGACTAATGAAGGGATTCTGCAGATCTTGAGGCAAAAGGAAATCATTTTTAGGAGAGACAAAATAAAGTCTATCAGCACATTTCCATGTTATTATTCAATGTCTAAAGAAAGTCTATAAAATCCCATGGAAAGTGTGACCCCAAATCCATACGCCCAATCGAGCTGCCCTTCTGTAATACTTGACCTGTGACCAAGCATTATGGCCCTCCTTGAAAAGTTTCTTGTCCATTAAATATAGCTAACTAAGAACTGAAAATAGAGATGGTGTCTTAAGGGAACTAGATAAATATACCAAACTCATCTGAATATAGGGTTGGCCCTCTGCAAAACAGAATGTAAAGGCTGCATACCCCAACAAGGTGAAAATAATAGATGGCTAAACTTAGAAAGCAGAGGGACCATGGAGGAGAGAGAAGCAAGCACTGTGTGGGTTCTCTTTCCTCTTGAAATTTGTCAGTCAATTCAATCTGAAATTAAAATATTTTGTAGCCGGGTGTGGTGGCGCATGCCTTTAATCCCAGCACTTGGGAGGCAGAGGCAGGTAGATCTCTGTGAGTTCAAGGCCAGCCTGGTCTACATAGTGAGTTCCAGGACAGCTGGGGCTATAGGGAGACCCTGTCTCAAAAAGACACCCCCGCTAGAACAAAAAATTTGTAAAAATACGCTATAATTCCAACCATATTTTGTTTTGCAAAATAACTTTTTCAACATTAGAGGGGTCTCTAATGTCATCTGTTACAGTGAAGAAATATTTTTTGGAAATTTAGCAATTTCTTCTAGTATGTTCAGATTCTCTACCACAAATTTAAGAAAGATAAAACTTAATTCGTAAGTTAGAAATAGACTGTTTAGGATTTCTCTTGGAGCATTAACTTCTCTATAGTGAGTGGGCTGTCCTTTCTAGCGAATGTATGCAGAGAAAGGTGATAGGAAATGGAGTTAAACTGATGTGAATGATGGTTAGCTGTAGGATCCAAAGTCACTTCAAATTACTTTTATTTTTAATTTTTTTGATTTATTTATTTTTATTTTGTGTATATGAGTTTTATCTGCATATATGTAAGTGCATGCATATATGTAAGTGCACTCATGTGGTACAATACCCATTGAGGCCAGAAGAAGGCGTTGGATCCCCTGGAACTGGAGTCATGAACGACTGTGACCATGTGGGTACGAGGAATCGAACCCAGGACCTCTGGAAGAGCAGCCAGTGCTCTTAACTACTGAGCCATCTCCCTAGGCCCTGGAGTCACTTTTTAAATAATTTATTCCTTGTGCTTCTTTATGTTGTTGAAACATCTTGTAATAGCCAAGTATTGCTTCCATAAGCTACAAAGTTCTGTTTAAATTAGAAACTCCAAAATAATCTTTCGTTGAATTAAGTTTTTAAAAATTTATTATGAGTGTGTGTCTGTGTATGAGAGAGAAGAGGGGGGATGAGAGAGAGAGAGAGAGTCAGTCACACACACCATAATGTGAGTGTGGAGGTCAAGGGCAATTTTGTGGAGTTGGTTTTCTCCTTCCACCTTTATGTGGGTCCCAGGGACTACGCTCAGTTCATTAGGCTTATGCAGCAAGTGTTTTTGTCCACTGAACCATCTCCCTGGTCCTGAATTTTAAAACAAAATAAAACATAGGGTAGTTAAATGGTAATGTATAAAACAGGTCAAAACGAGAAAAAAGTCACTCATGATATCATCTCAGTGTCAACCAGAACTCATACGTCCCAGTTTTGAATTGGAAGAGACTTCACGAACATCTAACATTTAAAAAAAAAAAAATCAATGGCCCATTTTGTAATTGGACATTTGTTTTCTTTCTTCTTTGTTTTTTGAGTTCTTTGCATATTCTGGATATTAGTTCTCTGTCAGATGAGTAGCTGGTAAAGATTTATAGTCCCTATATTTTCTCCCAGCAATTTTATAGCTATATTAATTGTATCTAAACATCTAATTGGCCAGAGTTTAATTTTCTGTGTGAAATAAGAATTGTGTGAATGAAAGTTCCCAGAAAAATCCTGCATCTTGAACTGAACTTCCTGTAAGACTGACCAACTGATTAAGACTTCAGTGACTATGGAGAGTTTGGAATGTTGCAGATCCACAACCTATTTACAACTACCTTGGGCTGTGTTTAGTAATAAATAGCCACTCCTTGCCCACCTGTTTCTGATTTTAACACCTTGCGACTAATAGAATGCATCCACTTAACAAAGAAAGTGTTCCTTCCCACCAATTAAAGGGCTGAGAAAATAATCAGATAGCATCTGAGACCTATAGTAGAAATCATAGCTCCCCCCCCTTTGCTTGGCCTGATTGCACCCATCAATGTACTTGAAAACTGTCTTGACTTATGATTCATTTTTGTTCCGTTACTATAAAAACTTCATGAAACTGCTTCCATGCTGAAACATGGAATTTGGGGTAACCTGAATCTGTGTTCCCCAGCTACAGTCACTCATATTTGGCTCCAGAATAAACTATCTCTTATCCCCTTTGAGGTGAGAGTTTTGCGACAACAACCGTGTCTGCCTGATTACTTAACAATATGCCTTGAATGGTCCTTTTCTGATCCTGATTTGAAACATCCTATTTTGACCTAACTCTTATCTAGAATTAAATCCTCTCAGGTATTCATGCTCTCATATCCCCCTTTCGGAGCCCTCCACACACTCAGCAACCCCTTGATCACACAGCAGATGGCCTACTCGGCTTCCTCCCATGTGCCACCTATTCTGGGAGGCTGTTCTTGTGCTCACAGGTGTTTGTGGCACTGAATTAGTAGTTTCTGAGTTAACTCTGAGTTAGTATCTTCTGTTTTTTCATGAAAATCCCAAATTTTCTTGATTTTCACATCTGAGTGAGAGGTATGAGAGGCACATACAGCAGGCCCTCCAAACACTCTGCCTAAACAGAAGCAGTCTCTTCCTCCCCGCACCTGCCTGTGGACAGCAGGAGATACAGGATTAGGTGAACATCAGGCAATGGTATATGAGGAATGTTGTGTGTGTGATTTTTAAGTGTCAGCTAGAACTGAATTTCATTTCCCCATCTTTATTCTCGGGACTTTTACCTTTTCCAACAATACTTCAGCCCCAACTGGTGAAGAGGGTTCCAGCGAGAGCTGGTCTCCACAAAGGGACGTCCACCTTGTGAAGAGCAGTCACGTGGTATGGAAGCTTCCTGCAGAGTGTAGTAAGTCAAGATTCTAGTAAGAGGGTCTCTAGTATGCAAGAGGCATTAGACCAGATGACCTCAAAGGTCCCTTCTGAGATGATTTGATTCTGATATTAAATACCTTAATTACAAAAGGATTGCTCTTTAAGTAAAAACCAAAGCACTGATCATGAGCTAGACAACCACATCCTTATACTGCACACCATTGCCTTTTAATAATATGAACTTAATGAGAAAATATTTCAAAAATCACCTTGATCTTCCAGGATCTATAATTAGATGAAATAAGCTGGTTCTTTAAAACAAGCTGATGAAATCATTTAACTCGTTAACCTCAGTCAGTATGTGAATTCCAGACATAAAAGATGCTGGGATCCACTGTGGCTCAGTAAAGGGCTCTGAGACACACCCACAAATCCTCCTGTGTACCAGACAGTAAAGGTCCACTCAGTGAGTAGTTACCAAAATGAGTCCCTGCAACCTTAAATGAGTCCCTGCAACCTTCATGGTATAGCATTAAATTTAGTCTTTTAGGGAACAGCTTAGAATAAAGAAATAGAGTGTGATTCAATTCACTCTGGCCCCAGCTAGAGCAGGGCAGCAAAGGAATCCAGTCCTCTGCTAGATCAGAGTCATTGCTGATGTGGGTTCTGTTGCCACGAGCCATCCCCTGCCTGCTCCTCAGATTTCAAACCTCACTTGGCACTGAGAATCTCAGTTGCTGTTGCCCCCAGACATGAGGCCAGGCTCAACTCAGAACTTAATGCACCACACCGGGCACTGTCATCTCTGTAGAGCAGACCGAAAACCCATCTTTCCTAGATTTTACTTCTGAAGGTAAATACACTTACCTGAAAGTTTCCTAATTGCTTTTGGGAAAAGCAAATATAAACGATAAACTTCATATGCAGAAAACAGAGGGGAACAGAGAGAGAAAGGAGCCTTTGTACTCGGCAGGGTAAGTGAAGGAGATGATGGGAAATGATTCAGAGTTCCAACAGGCACTGTGCAAACAAACAGACCTGAAGTTCCGCATGAACTGCCGGAACTTGTCCGCCCTCCTCGCTAGGGGCACGATAACGTTGATAAGAGTGTTGGCCATGTTGAGTTTTTCCCTTTTTACTTTCATGATAGGGCCAAAGGGTCGAAATAGGACGAGCCGTTTGAACTCGTGCTTGTGGTCCCCTTTGAAGGTGAGCTCATACAAAGTACCTTTATCCTTTTCTGTTCGGTAGATGCCTGAGAACAGAAAAACAAGGAAAGGCAGTTTAAGAAAAATGAACTTTGGCTACTGAGTACTTTTTGATAACTAATATCTACCCCAAATGCCTTTAAAGTTAGTGTTAAATCTCCACATCCAATGATTATTAGAAAACTCAAGTTATAATGAATATACCAAAAGGAATCAAAATGTCATCCATTTAAAAATGCTATGCCGGGTGTGGTGGTGCACGCCTTTAATCCCAGCACTCGGGAGGCAGAGGCAGGCGGATCTCTGGGGCCAGCCTGGGCTACATAGTGAGTTCCAGGGCAGCTGGGGCTACAGGGAGACCCTGTCTCAAAAAAGTCCAAAAAAAAAAAAAAAAAGTTATGATGCCCTCACACAAATCATAGGAAAAGTTTGTAATGTTAGCTACAAAACTATATTATCTAGAGGCATTAAAAAAAAGACAGGAGTTATAAAGTAAGTCTGATACAATGCAGATTGGAATGTTATTTCAGTTTATAATATGACTAGAATATTAAAATTACTGTTTCTTTAACTTCAAATGTGTTTACTAAAATTATCTCTGAAATTAGAGTCATTTCAGGCGAGCTGACCATTGTGATCTATGGGAGCATTTTGGAGGAGAATAACTTTTAGAAGCATTCAAGTAGAAAATACACAAAAGACCCAGTATGGTGGACAGGCACACATGGTATTTATTTTTACATCTTCCTACCACTGAGCAGTACATCAGGGAAGGTATATTCAAGCCAGGCTACCTAGGTTCACATTCTGGCCCCATAGCCACACTGGGGACAATTATTTAATCTTTCCATACCCATTTCCCCCACAGGTTACATTAGCCAATGATATCCTAGTGGCATAATCCCAGGTACTTGGGAGGCTGAGAGACAGGAAGATCCTGAGTTGAAGGCTTACCTGGTCTACAGGGTGAGTCCAAGGCTAGTCTTGATAACTTACTGAGGCACTGCTGCAGCTCAGTAATAGAGTGCTTGTTTCGTACGTGCAAGACCCTGGGCTCAGTCCGCAATACCAATATCAAAAAGCTTTAATGTATAGCAACAGGTCCCAACAGTGCTTGACACACAGTAAACCCTTAGTACATGCTTCCCCTCATCTCTGCCTTTCCTTCTTCTTCTAGTCCTGTTGAAACGGGGCATATGCAGGAGGGAGATATACAGGGGAGAATTCTAGTCATTTCCCTTCAATCTGTTTTCAGTCCCATGTCACCAACTGTCACTGAAACCCCACTCAGTGTCACCGTCAGGTTGAAGATGTCGTTATCAGCTCTCAGGAGGAGCCTCCACAAGGCCCGTTTGACAGTTTTCCTATCTAAAGAGCAAACAAACTCCCCTAATATCTTGGATCTCCTTCCCTAATATCATCACTCACGTCATGGGTGTTTTTCTTAAAGACAGAAAAAGAAAAGTTGGTTAACATTTAACAAATCACGAGAGAAGCTTTTATCTTTGATTGATGCTGTTTCCAATTCTATGACTTCGTCTTCCTCTAGGTCCCCACATTAGCTGAAAAGGCACCCTTAGTCCTGGATTAGCCACAAAATTCAGTCTCTGAGGGAATGTCAGCCGATGCTGAGTTACAGCTGCTCAGGGCATCTCACTTCTCTTTTCTTCTTCACGCTCCCTTTTCATTTCTTTGGCGGGAAGGACACATCTTCACACACACTGCCAAGCTCTCTCCTCTGTTCTTGGTCTCTGGGGGGTTTCTCATCCTTGAGCTCTGTTCTTACACCCTCTTTGATCCTGTTCAAAGTTTGGCTCTCTCTGAGGTATAGAGAAGAGTCTGGTACTGCAATTTTTTAAAACATGTCCTCATTTCCCACAGCCATCCAATAGGCCCGACTGAAGATTCAAAAGACACTGTGCACTGGCACTGAGCAAGGATGACTGAAGGACTCAGTCCTGCTCTGAAGCTTTGGCTACTTCCTAAGGTAGCAAAATGGGTCATACTGCCCCACTGACCTCAACACCAGGGAAGCTCAGGAGAGTGGCTGAGCTCATGATAGGAAAAGCTTAGTATCCTTACTGAGGTCAGTCATAGAAGAGAGGAGAAAGTTTATTTCTTTGGAAGCTCAAAGGGTTTTTTTTTTAAAACATCAAGTGGTTCCTTCAAGGTCTGTTAATTCTTTTAGGCAATTAGTCTCCAGTGAGGAAATGGGCTCTCTTCCCACCTCTAATGATGTCTACAGCAGCTAGTTAGACAACGGCCTCACAGGGTCCGGATGAGGCTGGACTGAGTCCCACAGGAACCCAGGTGTCACAGGGGCACCTGTGCAAACATGAGCAGGCGCTGTGCCCTGTACGGTGCTTTTGTTATTTGGTGTCAGGAGTGCAGATTCACCACACAGCAATGAACCTAGAAGTGGATGCTGACAGCCGAACCTGTGGATAAATATGTACATGGGATGGGGGACTGGGCATCCAGCATGAGGACCTGTATGAGAACCTCAGTATGTACAAAAGCCAGGCATGGTGGCCAACACTTGTAGTTAGTCCCAGTGCTTGGGAGGTGGAGACAGGCGGATCCTTGGGGTTTGCTGGCCCGCCAACTTACCCTAGTCGCCAAGTCCCCAGTCAGTGAAGGACCACGTCTCCTAAAATAAGGTGGGTAGCACCCGAGAAGCAACCTCTGAGGCTGACACCTGGTCTCCATATGCGCCTTCACTCACATGTGCACTCACACACACTGGAACATGTGCACGTATACACTCCCATTCACCCCCCCGACCCCCAAAAAGTGTACATAGACTGGGAGATTGTTTCTCCTACTGAATCATTTTCTTTTTCAGTACCAGGATAGGAACCATTAACTTTTAAAAACCTAAAGCCATTGAGTTGAAAAACCAGACAGCAATATGCTCAAATCTCTCTTCAGAGACAAGCATTTATAAAGAGCTGGGAGAGGACCATAATTTTTATTAATAATGATTTCTGTAACTAATATTGGCTGCCTTTGTGGTCCCCAGATCATCCCAGTGTGAGAGAGATCCCACGCTGTGTAGCAGGATGGCTGGTGGCTTCACAAATGGAGCACTTCCCATCGAGAAAGTTCCACCATGATTTAAACCATTTTCTCAGTCTTCTACACATTATGACCTGAAACAGCTGTTATATGAACTTTTCAGCACACTTCCCGATATTCTACCTAATTATTTAAGCTATGTCTCCTAATCTGATTTTGGATTCCTTAACTTCATGTATTTGATTTTTTATTTACTTAGTTTATTTCTATGTATATGAGTGTTTTGCTTCCATGTATGTTAAGTGCATCCCAGTTGTGCAGTGCTTATGGAAGCCAGAAGAGGGCACCACATCCCCCTGGAACTGAAGTTAAGTTACTGACTATGACAACATGATTGTTGACAGCCAAACCCAGGTCCTCTACAAGAGCAGCCAATGCTCTTAACCACTGAGCCATCTCTCCAGCCCCAAGGACGACCCACTTAAAAAAAATATTTTATCATTTTTTATCTTATGTGTATGAGTGTATGTAAGTGCACCCATGTTGTGCAATGCTGGCAGAGGTCAGAGAGCATTGGATTCCCCTGAGACTGGAGTTACAAACAATTGTTAGCTGCTATGTGAATGCTGGGAACTGAACCCTGGTCCTCTGCAAGAGCAGCCAGTGCTCTTAGCTGGCTCTTCAGCCCCTGGATGAACCACTTCTTACCTTCACTCAACTTGAGTGTGTTCAAGAGGTGACTAATGTTGCATAGCAGGCTAAGCCCATGCTGAACTCAAGCCTTCTACCTGCAAACCTGATCTTCATTCTCAAGAGTCCTGTTCACCCCCTTCATTCTCTACATTCATTCCTATATTTCTTGCCTTCTTACTCAGAACCCAGGTCTCCCAGATGGATTCTCAGTTGTAATCAATGTTGACCAATGTCCTGGCCTCCAGGGCTAATTCACATATCTATCCTTTGGCTCTTAACCTGCCTGTAATATTACTCTAATCCTGCTCTTCCCTCACTTACAAGCCCTCACCAGCCTATCATGGCCTGCAGAATAAACTCTAATGCCACAACATGTCTTCAAGACCCTCCATAGTCTGGCCCAAACCAACCATCCCAATTGCACAGCTTGTCACTGCCTCAGGTGAAGTCTGGGTAGCTGTCAAGCTGGTTTATCCCAAGCTCGTATAACCAGTCTTCCCTGTGGAGAAGCTGGAACCTCTGTACACTCTTGGTAGAAACGTGAAATGATGCAGCTGCTGTGGAAAACAGTTTGGCAGCTCCGCAAAAAGTTAAACATATGTTCATCGCCATGTTATTCAGAGTAGCTAAGAAAGAAATAAGCTAGATCTCTATCAAGAGATAAAGGGATAAACAGAATGTGGTACATGCATACAATGGAATATTAGTCAACCTTACAAAGAAATGAAATCTGACACATCCAACAGCAAGGATGGATTTAGAGGACATTATGTTGAGTGATATATGCTAGCCACACAACAAATATCACATGATCTTATTTTTATAAGGCTTTCCGAACAGTTAAAATCATAGAGATAGAAATCACAATGGACGTGACAGAAGTTGGAGAGTGGGAAACAAGAAGCTAGTGGTTGATGAATGCAATTGTGGGGTTTTTTGTTTGTTTGCTTTTCTGTTTGTTTGGTTTTTGCAATGCTGGGGATTGAACCCAGGGCCTTGTGCATGTTATGTCACACTAACACTGAGCTATGTTTCTAGCCCCAGAGTTTTTAGTTGGGAGGACAAAATATTCTAGAAACAGTGGTAATGGCTGTCCAATGGCATGACTACACTTACCATTACAGAATTGAACGATTAACAATGTTTCATTGTCAATTTAATGGTACGTATTTTTTCCCAGTGTGCTGTGCTCCTCTGAAAAGGACTTGCACTTTCCCAGAGGCACATACATTTCACAAGCCTCACATCTACCTCCCAGCCCTCCCAAGCCTCACCTTTCTCCTGTGTGAAGTTCCCTGCTACATTCACAGTCCAAAGTGATCTTCCATCATCTAGA